GATCGGTATGTTCAGTTAACCATTCGATTGATTGAATCACTTTCAACTTTTGATATCGTATACAAAGGTGAGAAACAAGGTTTCTTTTAATTAACTAACCGCATCAAAAACTATTCCACTCGTTTATTAGTGGTCGTTTTCATGGATATTAACTTAAACAAATAATGTTTAGGCTGCAAATACTGCCCTAGGAAAACATTAATGCAACGATTTAGAAAGTGTAATACATTATATGTACATGAGCGTAACACGCTTTCTCGTTATTTGAAAATGGGAGAATTTTGCCAAAAGGCAGGCATCCACTCGAGAACAGCGTTACTTTCTTCACAACACAACCAAAACATTCAGCTCAGTCAATGAAACTCCACTACAATTATCCACCTGAGCTACACATTTTCTCCATCATCTCAATATATATATATATATATATATAAAATCTTATTTTGGTACAAACGTCCTCTTAAACAATAGTTATACATCGAATCAATTTCATTGGCAGTTCAATCTGTAAATGAATAGTCTTAACGAATTTGTTTCCTACAACATATATGTAATATCAAACCAGTTAAGATAGATTTCTAATTCAGTTTTAAGTGTTGTAACTTTATCTTCTTCTTTTTTATATCATCATCGTTAAAACAAATTACTGTAGGAAACTTTCATAGTCACGTAATCTAACTAGATCATGTTACTTAAATAGTTCGCACATTTCTACATTTAAAAGTAATTATTTGAAACTGAAAAATGTTTCCAGTCATTTTAGTCAATATAACTCACTTCATATTCTGTCTCATCTTCAGTGTTAGAGGTGCACATAAAATCGATAGAATCATATGAAACAAACGTTTTCATCATTACGGACACATTTTAGGGACAGTATTTATCATCATTAAAAAAAATAAATGTATTTGGTACTTGAATATTGTTCATACCTGTAGTACGGACTCAGGTATTTTGATTTATACTTTTTAGTCTTGGCTCTGATTTTACCTCAAATTTTAAATGTCGATGTAACAAACTTAGACTCAACTATTTATAGAAGAGAGGACTCAAGCTAAGCCTAACATTTTATACTCAACGAAATAATTAAGTAAGCAGATGCTGTCTGTTATGGCTCTCGTAACTCTTAATCAATAATCAAACGATCTCACTCTATATGAATTACTTCTTAATGAATTTTCGAGACCGGAACATTTAACCACTACCCGTCCGTGTAATGAAATCACTCCTATCATTCGTCCCGTGTATCGATGTAAACTCACCCTCAGAGAATGCCTTAAATTTGCTCACACCTTGAATTCTAACCCATTCTGAAATTACAAGAACTTTGAATGTTCAATCATTTTTATCATTGAACCTATTCATTAAACGATCCTACCTGTGGACTAACTTTGTCCGAGTTAGACTTACCCAATTTAACTAATATCTAACCAGACAACAGAATAACCTAGGACATGTATCATGGTAGATTTTTCTTAGTGCTTATAGCTTTTATTGATTTTTGTTCTCTGTATTTTTTTTCCTCTAGTTGCAGATGATTGTAAACGATTGGTTACGGCACTTTAAATGATTTCAAATATAATGTCTATTTATCAATAAGATTTTCACTTAAAAAAGAGTTAACGGTTTGTTATTAACACCTCACTGTGGTCAATGGGACAAACAAACTACATGTACATTTTTGATTTTGAGCACATCAGAGAATCTTATATCACATTATCTATCCTTTCCATTTAGCATTTTTATGCATATCAAGCTGGTCATACTTAAATAAACTGACAGGATTTCAGAAACTAGTATTTTTAGAATACATTATCACTACTATTGTTACTAGTATTATTAGAAGGCTAATTTCCAATAAAAGAACCATTATCAGCGTTTTAATTAAATATAATATTCCACACAAAATTGAATAGATTTACTTACAACGTCTGTTCATCCAGCTGTATGTATTGTTACACATTTGAAATCATCAATCTACCATTGTTAGACCACTATTAGAAACCTGGAAGCATTGGACGGCCATTTTGTCCTAGTATGGGACTCAATATCAGTGTGCATCCACGACTCCTGCTGCCCGCAGGATTCGAACCCGAGACCTTCGGTGTTGTGCACGAACGCCTAACCTTTGGACCACTGAGTCGGCATCCAACGGTGTTAATATCTAACTCTGATTGATCTACGGATTTTGCTCGACCTCACCCATTTGTCTTTGGTAGTTACTACCTACACCCGACAGGGTTGAACTCCACTGGTCACGTCTTCTCACTAGAACTTCGAGAATTTCCTCACGAAGCTAGTCACTTTTGAGCACAACACCGAAGGTCCCGGTTTTGAATCCTTCGAGATGCAGGAGTCGTGGATGCTCACTACCACTGACGAGTCCCATACCAGGACGAAACGGCTGTCCAGTGCTTCCAGGTTTCTAATGGTGGTCTAACAATGATTGATTGATGATTTCAAATGTGTAGAAATACTAATCTCCATAACTCTAATTGAAAATATTGTATGTATTATTTTACGATATGTTTTATGCTTCAATATTCAAAAGATGCTTTGTATTCATTTAAAATAAAATGATCATTTTTTTTAATGCAGACACATGTATCGAACTTAAATCAAAATGAGCTTCTTTGAATCAGATATTGAATAAATAACACTATTCACTTCTTATCCTTAAAAAAAATAAATTTGTTTTCTCAAAACAAAACAAAAAAATTATTTTCATAAATAAAATATTTTAACATATAGTTCATGTATATAAATGTAATTCTTTAGAGAATTTATTATTCTCTCTTAACTTATTTGTCTAACTCATAAAAAATGTCAATCACTAGTAGTTTATGAAAGTTTATTTATTTCAATATTCAATTTAGGAAGTTTTTATTTTCACTTCAATATGATATATATATTGATATATATTGAACAATATCAAGTATGTTCATTTTTTTTTGAAATTGTTTATTTAAAACAATTTGTTGACGTCATTTAGATAAGGTCATATTAGGCTTAAATAAAAATATTGTTTTTAAAAAAATAATGAATATAAATTTTATCTACAAAAATAATAAAAACAATACTCTAATTTGATCTAAATAACAAGGGCAGCTTAAGTGTGATTACTATCACATAGTACATGATGTATGTGCTGCTCATTAACTAAAGTTAAGATTTTAAAAATATTGGCTCGTGATAATCTTTTTTTTTAACTGTAAATAAACATAAATCATTAAGTGAGTATCATTGAAATGCTAATCATATTTATACTTTACTGAAAGAAATTTGTCACTTATCACAGTGAATTGATTGAATGTATGTATGTGTATGAGGTTGCGCAAGACCTTGAATTGATCGAAGTTAGATATGAACACCATTAGATGCCGGCTCAGTGGTTAAGAGGTTAGGCGTTCGCGCACAAGACCGAAGGTCCTGATGTTCAAATCATGCGAGGTGCAGGAGTCATGGATGCGCACTGCTGATGAGTCGCATACCAGGATGAAACGGCTGTCCAGTGCTTCCAGGTTTATAATGGTGGTCTAACTTTGATCGATTTTTACGATTTCAAATGTGTAACTTAACAATCTTCACAACCCAGTAATGGAATAAGTTTTTAGTTAAGAAATTAAAACTTCAAAATTTTCTCTGTAATTCCTTAACATTTTACTCTTTTTCATTTGAAATCAAACTGATAGTTTGATGTTCAGTGGAATTTGTTTGTTTTAAAGTAATTCACCCTGTTCGCGAATTTTTAGATTACAAATTTACTTTGGGCCTATAGTCCTCCTGGAGCCCCTCTAGGGCTACTGCATGTCCCATGCCTAGATAAAGCAAGAGGGTTGCGCATGGAGTTAGCGACTCCATCCGGTAGAAAACGAACTCGTTTAAAAAACGCTAATCAGAAAAAACAGTTCAAACCATTTAAACTCTGAATGCCTCTTCTGACAACCAGGGTAACTATTAATCTAGGTACACGGAATGTTCGTACATTGCGACAGACCGGAAGAGTAATCGAAGTTGTTGCTATTACCCTTACATAACATTACTATTTTATATACAGTACGGTTGATCAATCTATTGCACATAACTTATTCTTTAATTTACTAAAGAATCAATAATTGCAAATCGCATTAGAACTGTTTTCACTATTCATAGGCTATTTATAATGAAAGAGAATGTACATTGATTTTTATTCAGTTGGTTAAATGCACCAAAAATAATATTATTTACTGCTATTCGAAAGTTTAGCTTATAATATGCTTTTTTTGAAGATAATTTGAATTATATAAAGTTTAACTTATATGAAGTACAATAAAAATAACATCTATTCGAATTTCGCGCTGCATATTGACTTTATGGTCAATGTTCAATAAGAATAGATCAAATCGAGAAAATTATCTACAGTATATGAATTCAAGAATATTTTCACCATTCGGTTTCATTGTTAACAAATTGAAAGGCCGATAAAGTATCTTTGATGAAAAAGTAATATACTGAACAAAAATAAACTTAATCAGTTTGATAAGAATTTGTTCAATGAAATCAAAAGATTACATCGATCAAATACTTGCGGATATTTTCCTCCTAAACAGATATATATATATATATATATATATATATATATATATTTGCGTTTTAGATTACGATCACACGAAAGAATGATTTGAACAGATTCATTCATACAATTCGGTTATTTTTTTCCCTGAATTAAAAAGCAGTAAGAACTATACAAAAATAGCTTTTAATTCTTCGTACTATTCAACAGCCTATATCGAATAATAACAATGTAAACGTACTTATTAATACAAATTCTTTAGATTTCTTAGTTGACTCAGTCTATATATTTCATTGTTGAACTTCAATGTCATCGAAAGAAAGAACTAGAACAAATTTAATCAATTTTCAATATAAAAGGTAAGATATTTTGTGGTAAAAAGTAAAACTTTATTCCCAAGAAGCATACTTATTATTATATTTTATAACTATCATCAATGTTAACTTACTTATTTGTAACTGATGCTGCATTTTTTAAACATAATGTGAAGTAAACATCACATTCTTTTCCTCCAACACGATCACAAACTTGTCCATTCTCCAATAGCGATGCAGGATTATTATAATCCCATTCAATTTTTAACTGAGCTCCACCGTATGACTAATTGAACAAAAAAATGAAAGGGATAAAATATTAAATTCAAAGTATTTTCTCGTTGCTTTTTAGATAATTTAGTTCATTTAAAGTGTAGTAATAACAATGTTTACCAGGCAAAACCGAACTATTCATATATTCTTTTTCTATAGAAAATCACTCAGTGAATAAATTTGCATAGAATTTTATTATTATACATTTCAAAACTCAGAAAACTTGGCTTAATATGACAAAAGAATTAATTATCATTCAGACAATGAAAATTTTAAAGATTGAAATTTGATCATGATCAATTTGTTGAACCCCAAAAATCACCATAAGCAAATGCACGAAATTCTAGTTTTGAACACGAATAGGTATTACCTAGACATCTATTAAAGTCAAGAAAGTATTAGAATACTTAAACTAAATCTTAATGTGTTTGTTATCTATCAAAGCTTTAGTTTTTCAAGAATTTTTTTTATCATTCAGATATTTATTTCAAAATGAATTACTTTAATAGACTTTTGTTTGTAAGAGAGATTAATGCATCAAACTTCATTTAATGCCTGAATTCGAGTGCCTAGATTTCAACTTACAGTCAGTCAATTACAACGTAGAACTTTGTACGTACGTACATCACTTCAGGTTGCCATACCGAATTAGCACAGAGATATAAATGTCAATTCAAACCCCATTGTAGTAGGGGTAGTAAAACTATTAGCATTAATCAAAGAGATAGTGGTTCGAAGATGTTATTTAAGAAGTATAATTCAATGAGGTAGATTTAGAAAGAGAAAGATAGAGGTGGTGAGTAATTCAGAAGGTTAGAATTTCATAGAACACAAAAAGTAAATGCACCTGCGCCATTCCAAACGGTTTTGAGCCATGTCATTCAGGGTCTCTAACCATCCATTATTATCATTTCGCGGACCCCAACCAGGTAATCGACACCTAACGACATGACTCAGTCCACTTGTCAGTGACTTCATGGATTTCTTCCATGTTTTGGTTTGGCCGCCCCTAGCTTTTTTCCAACCTGCTCCTTCACCACAAAACATAGATCATCGAGGCAGTCGGTGCTAGCGCATACGTAACACATCTCCCTATCACCTCAACTAATGAAGTTTCACTATTTCATCAACTGATCTGTCATCTCTACCTAGTACTCGTTTCTTAACAGCAGAATTCCTGGACTTACTCATACTTTTGGACAACCAAGGACACTTACAAAATGAAAATCTATCTGTCACCGTCATGCTATATTACATATCTCAATAAAATTACCATAAACTGTACGATTAAATTATTATTTTTCTGAAAACTCTGTATAGTCTAAATTAATTATAAGTATGGAATCTATTGAATTGATTTCAAACAAATTCAAAATAAACTCAGTGAATAAATCTATTTTTCATCTTATTGAACCATATGAGTTATTTACCACCGTAAATCCATATTCATAAACTTGTATTATTTTACTAAAATACCCTTTAACGTTTACATCATAGATAAATAAAAATTAGTTGATGAAAATCTGTAAGGGATTTTTTATAATCTACGTTTCTTACTTACGAAAAATTCATCGGTTAGGCATTTTCAACTTTAAACAATAATGAGACATACTTGTTCAATGTTATATATCAATAACAACTTTCAATCTGATGCTGTATGTTTGAAAAAGCTATTTTTACGTGAGTTAATCTACGTATCAATGATTAACAGAAATCGGAGATGAATAACCAATTATTCTGAAATCAATAGTTGGAAATTCTCCAAATTCTAAGTTATTGAATACGGTTATTAATTTAACAGTAACTATATCCCTTTGTCAGCTTGAAATTTAGTCTAAAGATTAAACTAAACGGGTTTACGATCACTTCATCACTAAAAACTGTACTTTATAAAGGTCTTATGACTTCATACAAATTCTAAATTTATTATTGTAAAGAAGGAAATTACGTCTAAAGAAAGATAAAACAAAATGGCTGATAATTGAACAACCCATATTTTACTTTTCTTCTCTACATACAATGAGAAGATTCACCATTTGTTTTCCTCAACTAGTTAGAATGTTATGCCTTGCGACAACACTAGGATACTTACTATAAACATAAGCATATGAAACTATTGATTTCAATGAAAAGATAGCCATCTAGTTAATCCTTATTCCGCATTAGATAATTTCAAGGAAATTTTCTAACACTCTAATAATAATTAGAAATTAATTATTCCATGCATAAATTCTTTCTCATTCTAAACTGTGCCAAAATTAATAATATTCAGTCAGTCAGTCAGTTTCTTTTTTATAAAATTAATCCTTTTTATGTTAATATTTAATAGAACAAAATTTTCCTCTTCAAGTCACATCATTAGATTTTACATTTTCATGTAAAATGCCAACTAAGTAAAATAAAGTAAGTCAGATACAGTTAGTTTGTTCATTGAGATCTAAATTACCATTTTATTATTATTCTTCGAAGTTTCGTTTCCAAAATAACTTTAAATCTTTGACTGAATTTCTTATTATCATCATTCTCATTTTTCTCAACCAACAGTCAACTTCAAGGTCATTTTATTTTATGCTCATGATATGAATCTTGTTAGATATGTTTATAGCAATCAAAGGAGCACATATCATGTTGACGAATATTTTAAATTTAAATAAAGCGGATTAAACAAAAGCAGAATAAAATATGCAACTTAATATAATACCAAAACAAAAAAGTCTAAACTAAAAATAATATTCGAAAAACAATTTTATAAGATTAAAAATATCACTAATTTACATTTCTATTTGTCAGTTTTTTTTCTCAAGTAGATGCATTTTCAGTCACATAGAACTATTTGTTCAATGTTCAATTAATCTGAAAGTTGAGATTTATCTTATTGTGGTTGTGTGACAAAGGAAATGATTGGCGTTAAAATGATATCTGAATTCAGGAAATCGAACTGGAAGATACTTGACACAAGTATTTTTACGCACAGAGAGAAGATTGGTTAAGTTTGAGAAAAAAAACACTCCCCACTCTTTCGGTACCAGCTGTAATTACTAATAACAACAAACCACTTGAGTCGTTGTAATAAGATTTGATAAGCATTCACGTAATGAAATAGACAGACTATCAGATAAGTTTGTATTTACCAGGTAAATGAATCCGTATTCACGCGAAATACTTTTTTACACTATTGTGACTGTATTCAAGCAGACGTATCGTCTAAAAAAGTTCTATATGAATAGGATTATGAGTAATAAATATTTGAAAAGCATTTCACTTAAATACTTTTCCTCAGTTATCGAATTATGCCAGAGGCTACAGTTGAAAAGAAATTATTTGTGGTTCACTTGATGCAACACAAGTTGAACGCTTAATATTAATATTAAGTCATTTTATTTCCCCAAGTGTTAATGAATGTAATTCCTGATAGATGAGTTATCTTGTTCGGGATGCTAGATCCCTAGAAATCTCTTAGTGAACTTCTTTATTTTGCACTTTATGCATGGAATATGAATTTGGTATTTTCTCGCCTAAAGCACCCTTTATACCCTTCAGTTTGCGTTTACCACCTAGAAGGACTTTAATGTCATTGGTTTATTTTGTCTGCTTTTACGCCATTTTATTCATCTTTGTGTGAAACTGAGTGCTTGGTGTTCGTTTGTTGGTTCAGGGCAGCTTGTGAATTGGTTATATTCTCTCTACTGACTTCGGTCGTCTTCCTCTAGTTAGTTGTGCTGGAGCGCAGACGGATAGCCTTGCTTGTGATGTTATGATGTCACTGATTATTTTTTTCCGTTCTCTGATGCAAAACTGTACCTAAAATATCACAGTCAGGACATATCTCCCCCGTAAATCAGCTGAACTTTCTTCTTTTACGATCTGATAAAAATGTGAACTGTTATTTTGCCTTGACTTCGTAGTTAGTCTAACTGAAATGGTTTGAATAATATGCTCATTACCAATGTGACTACTAATTGGGTCCAAATCAGTCACTGAATGCTTTCATAGCTGTCGTTTGGGAGATAAATAAATATCTGAACTTCATCAGAATAGCTTTGCGGACGGAACTTTCCTTAATGAATTTGTAGTTGAGCCCCTAGTTCATTAAATACATTAGTGAGGCAATAAACTGTCTTCATTTCATTTCAGCCTTCACACTACCGAAAGGTATCTTACATTGCTTTGATTACGAAATATATCACTTACAACGAAAACGTAAACTTTCTTTAATTATATATGAATAAATGGCTATATTATTTTAAAAACTGCACAGTTTTACAATAAACATCAAGCTAACATCTTACTTTCATTCCAAAGTAAAAGTTACATTTTATCTACTGGACAACTTATTAAAATTATTCATTCATATTCAAAATCATGACAAAAAGCATTTATTCCGCTGACATATTTTCATCAGACACAGGAACTTAAATTACGAATAAAAAATTTATCAAGTTCTTTTTTTTTAAAACTATGAAATCAATATAAAATGTACAAACTAAAGCTTTACTTGATAAATGCAAATAAAATCATGAAAAAAAAAGTAGATTGCTATGAAAATAAAAACAACTAGAATTGAAAGGTTGATTGTCAACAAATGATTTTTATGTTGTAATAATCATTTAACAATCAGTAAATAGTGTGCATATATCAATTTATAGTCAATGAACCGTCAAAATCAGTATTCTTTCTACCATTCTGCAATCAAAAGTTGTTACATAAATACAAAACTACAAAATTATGAATTAGTTAATGGTTCAACCTTTGAATAAATGTAATGTAATAATTATCAACCCATTTAGATTAAAAACTCCGCCTGGAGCCTATCTGGGGCTACTACCGGAAAAGGGTTGGGCATGAAATCGGCGACACTTAACCATCCTGTAGAAAACTAAATCGCTAAAAATACCCTAACCAGATAAAATAAAACTCATTTAAATGAAAAATGTTATTAGCAAGAAGAAAATCTTAGAAATTCGTCTTGGTTCTAATTGTTTTTTTTCCTGCCATTTCACAAATCTTTACTTCATTGGTATTCTTTGTTGCTGAATACTTAAATCATAATTGTTATTCTGTTTTAGTCTATGATAATAATATAATGAATTCCTTAATTTAATCTTGTCACAAAAAAAACAGTGTTTCTCGAAGGCAGTATAATGTTTCCAAAATGATAACAATTACAAGAAATTTATAACGATTGATGTTTAACTCTTTATAAATAAAGCGTCAACCAAGCATTTAGTGGTAAAACATATGAATTTGTTAAATTTGACCAAACTGCAATTTATTTTGGAAGTAATGTGTTCATTAAATTACTATTTATTTAACAATTTTAAATTATTTTCAGTAATGTCAATAACAAACCCTTTCATGCTTTGATTAACTACTCAATCTATCTGTAAAATAGCTCATAAATTGAGTTTTGAATGACCTTTCCCACTTCAATAATCATTCATCATTTTATAGTATTCTCTTCCGTATATTGTAATCGGATAATATGATTTAGAATTGCTTATTATAAGTTGTATTGTTAGAATTACAAACAAGAGGGTGCATTCAAAAGTTCAGAAAATACTTAATTTTTATTAATTTTAGAAAAGTACTGTCATTTTCACGTAACTAACTCTTGAATTTTAAAATACCGGGATCGATAATTAAGTGAGCACTCATTCAAAAAACAACTAATTAAAGTTCCTGAATAAGTTCACAAATTTTAACTGACTAGATGAAGCGAAAACTTATTGAATACTGTTAGTTTGATAGCTGATCACTGATGTACAAGAGAATCAATGGTCTGCTAGCGTAGGAAAAGGTTTGTTGAATTGGTAACGTAAACTTAAAAGGGACTAGAAATGTAGTAGTTCGTACAGCTTTATAAGATCAAACTGGTCTACTTAATAGTACATGAAATCTCAAAATTCATACATTTTATTGGGATTTTCTCTCCCATGTTAAAAATCAACGTTAGTCATTTGTGATCTGTTATTATTATTCCCAAGGGACGTATACGTATGAAAGTTAAAGCTACCATTATTCAGTGGAGAGATAATAGGAAACGTCATTAAAAAAAAATGAGATTACTCAATTAGAATATTAAACAGGTTCTGCCGATTTATTAATCCTGACACTTTAATACCTATTATTTATCACCTCAGAGTTGAGTTCCTTTTAGAAAATATACGATCACTCTTATCAAACAGTGTTTTAATAGTGAAGATTTCCCATTTAAAATGAAAATGATTGTCAGTCAGTCACAACGTACAACTTTGTATTTACGTACATAGGTTCAGGTTGCCATACTACATTATTCATGGAGACGCAATTATCAGTTCAAATCCCATTACAGTAGAGAGAGTAGAACTATTACGAATTTACTAGACAAACATAAATATTATATGGTCCCTTACTAAATATTGAACAATTAACAGAGAATAGTAAGTGTAACTCAGCTATATAATTTATTCTAATTGTTCATGGCTGAAATTGACTAGTAAACGCTAATGTTATTCATTATATGTTTATTGTAACAACTCAATATTTCACTTGCAATTTTCGGAGTTTGGAATGAATAAATAAAGTCTACCCGTTCTCTTATTTGTTTTTTTGTTTCAGATTACAGATAACATTTATTATTGATCTTTTGCTTACAAGTTACGTGATTTATTTACATTTAATGACGATAATTTTAATCATAATGTTTTGACTGATATTTTCACGTAAATAAATAAAATTATCAGTGTTTACTAAACTATGATAAACTTGAATAACTCTATTGTGAAGAGATTTTATGTGGATGTATTCAGAGATTATGGTTGACATTGAATGACAATGTACAAGCTGAATCTGTTCATGCTACAAACTTTATCTTCTGACAAATTAGTGATCATCAAGCACACGACTGATTTCAATGACAAGATAAAATAATTTTATAACAACTTTACTTTCTTATGATTCATTGAAATTATCACCAACCATTAAATGTATGTAAATTTATGCATTAATTTATGGTGTAACTAACATGTTATTCAATTGAAAATTTCACTTGCATGCCAGTCTATCATAGTTAAACAAAAAAAGAATATGTGTAGTTGTATTTTCTAGTAAAACTTGTCATTTGCATGTCCCGTACATTGCTTACTGATATAAATGCTCGCTTCTATTCGGGTAACTCGATTATTCATCTGTTTCGGAATTTTCTGAAATTTCTAAAATATCATTCAATCACAACCTTCACCGATCGTATAAAATTGCATTTGATTGTTGTATTTAATAAAACAATCGGCAGTAGGTTAGCGAATTCAAGTGTGTTACTAGATAATTTATGATAGAAATAGAATAAATGAAACCTTTGGGTTGAAAATGCTTATAATTCCAGAAAGCGTCAGTAAGGCATTCGAGTTAAAGGATATCTATTTTGATTTATGAATGAAAAATGTATTGTTAGCTTAATTTTCAATTTTCATTAGCAATTTACAGGTTAAGTACCATATAATTCATAAAACGCTACATGGGTTAATATAAGCTAAACCTATTTAGTCTGCTCTTTAAACAAAACATGGTAAGTGCATTAAACAATCTTTATTCATGTTGTACCGTTTTATTAAAAATTGTAGATTCACCCATTAATATATTCACACTTTATGAAATGAAACCAAGTATTTTCTTAACTTAAGTGTTCGAATAAAAACAGAAACTAATCAAATTTAATCGTGTGATTGTAGACTAGCCTACAGATTTATCCAATAAATTTTGTTTATCAACCGATTTAACTTCCTAGAAGAAGCTTTCAGTGAACTCTTGAATATTATCAGAAACAATTGTACTAACTTGCTTTGTTCTAAAACTTACTTAATTAGATTTATATGATAATATAGTTGTTTTTTAGGTAAACGCTCTAGTAAACGCTCTGCTTGTACACCTTTGGCAGTGAATTGTATTGGCTTTCATGATGTAGGTTTGGACCGATATAATTCTAGTCTAGTATAGTCTAGTGTGATTCTAGTCAACTGGATGCTATTTTTAGTTGGAACAATAATGTTATAGAATCCAGGTATAGTCATTTGACAAATCTGAATTAGGATGATACCCACATCTTAGTTCCTATTAATCGATATTACCAAATATGAATCTTTATGCCATGAATGAATTTTATTAGTCTAGTGGTTTTGTTTGGTTATTATAATTACAACAGTGTGGTTATTAGTCTAATGAACTGAAACTTACAAAATCTTACAGGTTTATTTTATAGCTGAAGGATTCAATCACCAATTCAGCTTCATGACTGTATTTCAAATATGTTTAGCGGATCTCTATCTATATGACATTAACAAATACTCAATTACATATTAATATATCTAGTATATCAGCTGACCATCTAGATTAGAATAAGCTTCTCATTTTATTACATAATCGTTTATCATATTTAACAATGGCTGATCTGAGTAAAAAAAACTTGGTTGAAATTAGCTGATTAGCTGAATTGTGAATATGAAAAGTGAAAAATCTGTTGTATTATTAAACAAGGGTATTTTACAGATCTCATTAGTCGTTACGTTGTGATGACCAGATATAAAGCCTCCTTTTGGACTTTGGTAACAATCTGGAAAAAAATATTTTTCAAGTAAACACCTTAGTAATAGCACAGAAACTACTGTACACAAACGATCATAGTCAGGACTTCACCATAAACGATAATTTCAAGATTTATTACGACACAGTAAAGAAAACATATGTGAAATTAATAAAGGCCTCAGGCAACTATTCACATTTTCAAATTACAATGGTTTAATATAAATCGAATATTCATATCTAACAGTCGAAAAGTTCATTGCGTAATATGTAATCCATTCTTCTATTTCATGTAAATTCAGTAACCTATATTTGAGAAGTTCATGAAAATGTCAATGAGATAAGAATTTTTTTTAAAATTTACAAACAACGAATAAGTAAATTGTTAGATTCTATCTTGATAGCTAAGTGATACTATGCTATTTACAAACCTAGTGTACTGTGAGTTGGATAACAAACAAAGTGTTGCAGTTTTCGGCTCAAACTGATTATATAATACACTTCTCTAACATCAAAGAGAATTATAAAATCACTGTAAATTGTTACCAATTCACATCATTTATTACATAATCTTCTTACCTGATTGTCTGAATAAACTTGACTAGATAAAATTCCAATATAAAAGAATTTATAAAATAAGATAATTAAAAAATAACAACTTGAATTGATTGATATAATTTTCATTGTCAATTATTGTATACATGTAATATATATATATAGGAAATGAAATTGTTAAATACAATTTAGATTATTTTCTTTCCATTAAAAAAAATGAATGAACATTTCCAAATCAGTTGGATGAATTTCCATTAATTGATCGATCGATTTCTCAATGCACTTCATCAATTTGTCTAAGAAATAATTATGAATAAATGAATTGGATAAGTTATGAATGAAACTTCAAAAATGTCTCATATGATGATGATGATTTCAATATGCTAATTAATAATTAATAATTCCAATGTTTCACAAACATGAAAACTTTGCGTATTTAAATAACTATTTTGATCATGAACTCTCTACCCGAAAAAAAAAATCAACAACAACAACACTCGAATGGTGCTGATTGATTGATTGAATAAATAAATATATTTATGAAAGTTCGTTAGTGTTAGTCTACTAAATAAATAAATGTATGTGCTTGATGTGTGTGTGTGTGTGTAGCATTTAATAATATTTTTATATAGTAAGTAGTATGTGTACGTACGTGTATTTGTGTTTGTGTATGATGTATCTGGTGATTCGACTGATTACTTACTACTAGTTAGTATAGAACAGTCGATTGATTTGCAAATATGCACAAAATAGTTAGTTCTAGTCATTGTAAAATATCGTGTAATAACAAATTCGTCAGTAAAATAAATATACATATATAATTCATTTGAAATTGTATCGAGAAACACTATCTTAGTTGTTACAATAATGATAATAATAATAATAATAATTAATAACAGACACAGTTAATCATAAACAAAATTCACTGATTTCAACATGATGTAAGAATGTGATTCGATATGAGTATAAATTAAAGGAAGTGTGTGATTAAGTTTGTGTTAATGACCTTGGGTAAAATGTCACATATCTATCTAATCATTATTCATCAGTTGTTGTTTGTTCAGCTTAAAAACTATTGATAAAATTATCATGTAACTTGGTTGAAAATTTAAACAATCGATTGATGAATAGATAGCATCTGTTTTCATAGTTAAATGCTGATGAGTCCCATACCAGGACGAAACGGCCGTCCAGTGCTTCCAGGTTTCTAATGGTGGTATAACATTGATCGATTCATGGTTACAAATAAAAGTTAAATGTTAATTAAAAGTGGAAAACAATCGGTACATTGATGAAGTTCGGTAGAATTTCATGACGACACATATTATTTGCTGAACAAAAAAGTTATGAAGAATATCTCATTTTGTATGAGACTATGCTTATGAGTCAGTCCGCTTACGTACTAGAGTTTAGATTGAAAATATTCACTTTCTATTTCATATAAGAGCTTCAACCGTCAGACTAAGGAACTACTACAGTTGACTCACTGACACTTATTATTAATAATCAGTAACTGATCACATTGTGGCCGTCGGTATCTAATATATTCTTAGACTTCGTATGCTACTCATCTTGACAACCGTTAATAGAAATACTCAAAGTTGTATAAATCAGAAGATGAATACGAAGCGTTGATTACGTTTATCATCATATCACACATAGATCCCAAAACCACAGGCACAAGAAGTGAAAATGATATGTGGGTGCCGAAGAGCAAGCAAGCAAGCGAATGAGTGAGTGAATAGGATATATATATATATATATATATGTATATGTATATATATATATATATATATATATATATATATATATATATATATAGGAAAATGACTGAGTCATTGAATTATCTAAGCGACTAATATTAAGACGAGTATAATGAATATGTGTGTATGTGGTAAGCAATGCTCAAACATACCTGCTCATACAAACGTGACAATGTAGTGCCTTCACATATATTTGGGTTCGCTTACATTTAATTTGGTTAAGCCCTTTCGATGAATTTATTTAACCAAACCATTTGTATCGCAACAATTCATATGTACCATTCGTTCTTATTATTGTCTGGTTTGTATGAGCTCACATGACATGTTCCACTTGTCATTTGACCTTGTCAACCATTTGACGCTTTTATTCATGTGTGTACATGCCTATTTCGTTGATCACATGTCTATCTAATTCTTGTCTGACTATATATTCTTAGTCAAGCTCTATTTCTAGCAACTGGCTCATTAGCCTTCTCCACATTGCTTCTCCGCTTCGCTTTGTGGTGTGTCCCAAATAAACGTAGTCATAACTTCGAGTTCACCTTTTGATTTGTAAACGGTCAGACGCTAGTTAGTAAAGATTGTCTAGACGAGCTAATTACCGAGCTTAAGAACACGCAGTAAATCGACACACTACAACAATAATTAAAGCACAACGGTACAGACAAGTTATGTTTATACGAATGAATCTGTTAAATAAGTGAATAAAAAGGCTTAACCGGATTGAACGTAAACAAACTCGAATGTATGCACGTTTTCCATGAAGATGTGAGTTCTGCACTACTTCGAACTGAACTGTGTGAACCAAGTTGTTGATAAGACGAAATATAGAAAATTTATAGGATCCTTAAGGATTCATAACTCGTCTAGTTTCTCAAAGAAAAACGAATGTAATCACAAAGCTTGAAGTACACGTGAGATGGTATATCGTATTCATAAATCTAGTAAATTTTTATAATCTGAGTAACCACTGGAATTTGTCATTTTTCCAAATCAACATTAATGTCTGTTTGATGCGGTTTTTAGGTCAAAAATATAGTGCATATAACTGAACTCCGTCTAGTTTTGTATTGAATGATCAAGACTTTAGGGGGCTAATGGAGATGGTCAAGTTTCATAGTCTGTAGTAAAGACTAATGCTGCTCATACAACCATGTCATGTATGAAGCAGTTAACCATCACCGACATTAGGAGATGGTTACATTAGATAGCGAACTGGTTTAGGTGAACCACTGGATACCAGTTTACTAGTTTAGAATGTAAGAACTGGCAGAGAGATCTAAAGCACCTGGGTTTAACACCCGATAGAACAGTAGATACATAACGCTGAGAATTCCCATACTATAACTAAATAACTATTTAAGGTTTCTCGACTTTCAATACCATTCTGAGATAATTTCGTGTTGTCAATAATTATTGGATGAATTTATCACTTAAATGTTCGCTTTTACTGTCTATTTATCTACCAGTCAATGTGTTTACCATTTTACTCCTTAAATACTGTGGTTGATTCGGTGAAAAGTCTTCTTCAATACACATTAAGTCAAGCAGCTTTGAGGTCTAAAACACTAAATCATCACAAATCAGATCAAAATAAAATTCACCACCATAGCATAAGCTAGTGGCCATCAGGACTCAGTGTACCAATGGACAATTCCTTAGACGTCTTAATCGAAGCATACTGGATTCGAGTCCCACAGTGAACATTCATTCTGAGATACACAAACACTGACATTGACGAGTCGCAGTAAAAGAAAAACACATTCTAGATTCTACCGCTGGTCCCTATCCAACTTTACTGCAGTCAAAATAATTCCAAACAAGAAACGTTATTTAGTTTTAAAACAGAAAAAATACATTGAAAATAATGAATGAATAGTATACTAAAATGCTACTACTACTTATTAATTGAAATTATTGAAAAAATTTGAAAGTTTGACAAGGTTCAATGTACAATGTTCATTTAAATTTAATGGATATTATTCAGGTTATTTAATTTAAAAACAAGAACAATCATTGTCAACTATGTAATTTTTAGATCATACAGGTTTTTTTTTACCACTGTATATCGTTTGTGCAATAAAAACCAAACCGTATCACCACAATTTAAGTGACCTTAAAAAGTGAATTCATTCGATAATAGTTCCGACGAACTACTACATACATTTGATAGCTGTAAATTGTAATGATAAATCAGAAATAGGATGATAAATTTTAGAGAAATAAATAATGCGTTATTAATTAATTTGTACACACACACACATTCAAGCTGTGTAATTAATTAACTCATAGAATTGTGTTGATACAATTTAAATATCACCAGATATTTTTTGTGAAAAACCACATACAAATGAAACATTCATTTCTGATCTGTAAATTAGTATCATAATGTTAAGTTATTCAATATTATGACCCAGATTGGTTTTTGATTTCCTCACTTTTATAAAACTGAAATGGTAACTACTTTCAGAACTAAAATAAAGCCAACCATTGAATACCCTTTTAATCCTTTTTCCTCTGGTTATTCGTCAGACTAATGAATTATCAATGTAATTTGCTTTAAATATTTACTGCTGTATCCAAATTTAAACGTCTTTCTATTCATAACCACTGATTTTTATCAATGAAATGTATCAAAAACAATAAATATTCACTGATTCAGCTGATTTCAACAATTTCAACAATTCACATGACAAATTAGATTGATTCGTTTTTTTATTGCATATATGATAAGTAGTTTAGACTGAATATTCACAAAAATATTAAACATTTGGTTTTACTTCGAGCATCGATTTAGTTCATTTATTTAACATATTTGCATATATGAACTGTATCACATTATTAGGTACTCTCATCTACACTGATGACCTATTTAAATTAATTCAAATTTCGATGGACGAACACATTCACTATTGAACAAATGGCATTGTCTATTATAAAATAATATCATTCATTAACATGATATGGAGTTTCACTTCTTTCGCGTCCATTTTGTAACTAGTATGCGTTGAGTTGTGGAAACCTGGAGAACTACAAAAACCATCCTCCAGAAGATACAAGTGTTTATTAACAGCTGCCTACGCAAAATACTTCGGATTCGTTGGCCAGACAGTGTCAGCATCAACGTACTGTGGGAGGAACAAACCAGATTCCAGTGGATGAGGAAATCAGGAAGAAGCGGTGGAAGTGGATAGGACACACATTGCAGAAAGCACCTAACTGCGTCACGAGACAAGCCCTTGCATGGAACCCCGAAGGCAAAAGGAAAAGAGGAAGGCCAAAGAACACACTAAGCCGAGAAATTGAGAAAGATATGAGAGGAATGAACAAACATTGGACAGAACTGGAGACGGAAGCCCAGGACAG